TACATAATAAGTTGCTTTTGTTGAGAGTTAATGACAGCTTTTACTGTATGCGTTCCCTCTGAGTTACAAATTAAACGGATCTGTGGAGTCCAGAGTTCTCACTCCTGTTTGAGAAGCCGTAGAGTACTGTGGTTAAGAGGAGGGTCTGAGGAACCTGGGTTAAATCCTGCTCTGCTTGGGAATTTGTAGGTATTAGTCTTTCAGTTTCCCTAGTAAGGGAAAGGAGCGGTGCTTACACCCCAGGATTAGAGAATGAAAAATAGTACCCTGGCGAATGCATGCCCACAAACCGGGACTGAGGCTGGGGGTGGCGGGCAGCATTGGGATTCTATTAGGGGTTCTCTCTCTCATGCCCTCTTACTCCAGGGTAAATAAATGAATAAACTTTTTAAAATGAAAAATAATTCAGTGTACATGTAAAGCTGTTAGAATAGTGCCTAGCACGGATTGGAGTCTCAGCTCATCCTGGTTGTCGCGGTGTGGATGGAGACTGCTGAGCGGCCCAGCCTCCTGCAAACTCTCCACATGTTCCATCCACGTGGTCCTCTGCTACCCAAGACAGAACTGCACTGTCCCAGAATCCCCACTAAGGGGCAGCAGAGCCCCACTTGTATTCAGAGAACATTCGCCCCTGAATTCCTGATCCCTCACACACTCTTGCAGAAAAATTGTGGCCCAAAATGATGTGGCCTCTGGCCTGGGGTTCCTCCTAGAGCAGTGTCAAGGCTGATCAGAGAAGCGCGAGGAAATACTCCGGTGAAGACTGTGCTCCTTCTCCATCCAGCTGTGGCTACACTAACACCTTCACCCCGTGGGGATGTGGCTTTGCTTAGTTGGATCCTGGAGACAGCCATACCCAGACTTCTGCCCGTGTCCTCAGCCCTTACCTTGACCAGCTTCCCTGAGGAATATTAACCACTGTTGGCTGCTGACACCCATTACCAGGAAGCAGAAAATGAGGCCAACAGAAAGCTTCATCCTGCTGCAGAGACAAGGAAACACAACCAGGGATGAAACACGATGTGTCGAAGTTTTTGTTTTTGCTTTTATTGTTGACCCAATCTTGCATTTCAAGAACACACACACGCATGATATATACATATATAAACACATAGATGGTATAGAAACATAATAGCTAATCAGTCAGCTAGATGATTCTAGGTGAGAGGTAGAAAGATAGAAGAGAGGTGACCGAGAGAATTTCAGAGCGTCTAGTTCTCCTTTTCCATTTGGAACTGCAGTGATTTATGTGAGAGCTTGCAGTGGGTCTTAGGTAGAGCCACTTTCTATTCCCCTGTCAGCCCTGAAGCCTAACTGTACAGGAAGTTTCCAAAAAAGCATTTGAGAATGTTGCGTCTGTCCTCGCTCTCTGTAAGGTGAGACGAGTTAAACGGTCAGTGCATTGTCGTAGAAATGCCTGCTCTGCCCACGCTGACTGTGTACAGAACCCGCATACTACAAGGCTCTTGCCCTAAAAGTAGATGCTTCTCAACTTGTGATGGGGCTACATTCCAGTAAGTCCATCAAAAGTCAAATATATTGTAAGTCAAAAATGTATTTAAAGGATCTGCAGGTGGCGTGGTGGTTAAAGGCGCTGGATTCCCACACAGCCTACCCTGGTTCGAATCCCAGATATGGTGGCTTGCTTTCTCACTTTCTCTCTCTCACTCTGTCCCTCTCTGGTCAAACTGAAATAAACAAATGAATAAATAAATTTAAATAAATAAATATTTTTTAAAAATGCATTTAATACACCTAACCTACTGAGCACCACAGCTTAAACAAGCTCAGAGCACTAACATTAGCCTACAGTTGAGTAAAATCATGTAACACAAGTCTATTTTATAGTATTTAATATCTCGTGTAATTTCTTGAATACCATGGGGAAATTGGAAAATGGAAGGCAATCTTCGTTTTAAGCCAAAGTCATGCCAATTGTTATTTATTTATTTATTGCCATTGGGCATGTGTGCTTGCCGGAGAGAGAGACAGAGAGATTGAGAGGGAAAGTGAGAAATCACCCCCTAGGGAGAATGACCTCACTGAAATCCCTTCTCCTCCATTCTCCTCTTGGGATCTTGGACATGCAACACACACATGCCCAGCGTGAGTTTCAAGCCATTGGGTCTGGGACTTGAACTGCGGTCTGCCATGTGGGAGTCCAGCAATATAACCACTACATCATCTGCCGGCCCCGGTTATTTTTAAAAACAAAACAAAAGAAGCTCACTCACACAGAGGAAAGTGAAAAAATTGTAAGTCAAACCGTTGTAAGTCAGGGACCATCTGTATCCACAACTGTATCCACACTATCAGAATAGTGGAGTCAGGAAGGAGGCAGAAAGAACTGAGCTGCAGCACGAGAATGCCGGTGGGAAGGAGAAGCTCCCAAGAACAAACTGTAGCAAAGTCCTGGCACTTCACCTTTGGTTGTCGGTTTCTGCAGAGGCCCCTGGGAAGCTGAGCTACCTGTACGGCCGGCCGGCTGGGGAGACGTGGCTGGTGCTATATATACAGACCATGTCCTGACAGGAAATCCTCTCTTCCTTCTTACACAATCCTTCTTGGGCGGAACACAGCATCCAGAAATTCAAGACGTTTCTCCACACAGATGTAATTTTTCCAGATTGTGCAATTGGGCAGTTTTCAGGAGGATAGCAAGTTAGGGTTTTGCTTGCCTGTTTCCATTTCCACTACTGGTGGGGAAAGTTGTTTTTATGCACTAAGGTACTGACAATGTACTGGGTCATCGGAAAAGTCAGGATGCATTTTTGCATAGAAAAACAGGAAAATACGTCAGGACTTTTCCGACAACCCAATACAATGACAAGTAATCAATAGTAGGAAAAGGTATTTGATAGTCTAAAGAACGTGAGCATATGGGGCAAATGGAACAATTGACTGGCCCCGTTACAGGGGACTGCTCAGAATGGAGTTGGGACCCTAGGATACTGGAGTAGGAGAGTAAGGAGACAGACAACCCACGGAAACAAAACAAAACAAAACAAAACTCAGCACCCACTGGCGATAGAAAAGGGAGCCCTCTGGATTCAAGAGCATTTATGATCAGTTGCTATGGAAGGTGCTATGGCAGGTTGTATAATCCAGGAGTGTTGAACTGTGGTGTAGAAATTGGCTACAAAGTTGTGTAGAAACGACCATGACAAAGATAAGCAGGAAATGGCCAACTGGCTGCTACAGTGTCGGGACAGCAGATTCAGGGAGAAGGTAGGGTGCAGCACAGGAACTCCGGAAGGTTGTGACATGGACTTCAGCTGTTTTGTTTTGCTTTCATTGCCAGAGGGCATCTGCACTTGTCAGAGAGAGAGAGAGATATAAAGAGAGAGAGAATCCCCCAATGGAGTTATGCTGCAATCTTCTCCATGTCTCCATTCTGTTGGGATTTGGGGTATACACACAAGCCTGGTAGGGTTTTTTTTTTGGAGAGGTTTTTGCTATAGGGTGTGTGTGCTTGCCGGAAAGACAGAGACAGAGAGATAGAAAGAGAGGGGGGGATGACCCCCAGGGGAGATGACCACCCTGCAATCCCTTCTCCTCCATGCTCCTCTTGAGATCTTGGGCATGCATGCACACACACCTGGTGTGAGTTTAAGCCACTGAGTCCAGGACTTGAACCACGGTCAACTACATGGGAATCCAGCGACATAGCCATTACACTAACTGCTAGTCCCAAGCCTGGTAACTTTTTCAAGCTGCCCAGCTGGGATTTGAACCACAGCTGGCCATGTGGGATCTGGCTCCTACAGAGCTGGTTCAGAGAACAGCTCCTTTACCCAGAACAGCAAAGTTGTGCTTTACTGTGTGAGCTTTGTAAGATTGCCTCCGGAAGAAATTGCATGCAGGTGTTACGCAGGAGCTGGAGTCCCACGGCCTACTCAGCTGCCCTACGCCTGCACCTTTGTCCAAAGGTAAAAATGTACAGGCCATTAGATTTCTCTAAAGAAGAGAAGACGATGCTTGTGTAACATGGCAGCGATGATGGAACCCAGAGGACTTTCCTTCTGCTGCTTCTTCCCAAGGGACCCTGGGATGGAAGCCTGAGGGAAGCAGGGGGCTCGTAAGGCCCGGCTAAGGAGGAAGCTCGGGACTTTGGCCTGGAGTATTTACTGGGAGAAGAGGAGTGTGGGCAGATGGTGAACAGTTTCCAAGATAAATAAAAGGGGGTGGGGTGAATAATAATACCTTCCTTGTAGGGTTCTGACAATGAAATGACTGATGCTGACAGGGACTTGAAATAGTTCTGGGCACTTGTAAAGCACTTAATGAATTTTAGATATTCCAGTTTAACCAAGAAAATACATCATCATTTATCTTTTCCAGAAGACAGAAGTATTCATTAAAATATTATTGACACAGCAATGTGAGTAAGTACAAGTACCAATCAGAAATACAGTTTTAAAGACCAAGGTTTAGTAACCACCTTTGATGTGTGTGTGTGTGTGTGTGTGTGTGTGTGTGTGTGCGCGTGCATGTGTATTTACTTTGTTCTACGGCTCATATTCTCACAGGAGAGAGACAGCGAGAAAGCACCCTCAAGCCAGGAAAGGGTGTGTGTATCCTGGAATTCCACTAAGTGGCATTGAGAGAGAGAGATCAGCTTGAAAAGCTCAAAACTTAGCAAGGAAAAAAAAAAAGGCCAAAGCAGGACAATTAACAGGTGGGATGTTGAGAACATGGTCTTTTGCGTCTAAAGTCTTCCCTCCTACCGTTTTGTGTTGTTTTGTTTTTTTGTTTGTTTTTAGAGAGGTTTTTGCTATAGGGCGCGTGCACTCACCAGACAGACAAAGAGAGACAGAGAGACAGAAAGCGAGAAATCGCGTCCCAGGGAGGATGGCCACAGAGAAGATTTGCATGACCCCTGAGCAAGGATGACACGCAAATTCATGAAGTGTTCCATTTTTTTGAGAAGACAAGCTTGTAATTTTGGAATAAAATATTATTAAAAAACAATAAATAAATAAATAATAAAATTAAATAAATATTTTTCAAAACAACTGAAACTTGAAACAATTGTTTATTTGTCTCCTTATGCAAGATTTTTTTATGGGTAGAGACCCAGAAGTGGAACAGAATATGACCGAGCTGAGCCTCAGTCAATGATGCCAGACGGTGCCTGTCAGAGGCGTGGTGGTCAGGCAGCCGGGGCCCACATAGCCGACTGTGTAGCTGAGTCTCAGACATGACAGTCTGAAAAACTAACCAGCCATGTCAGCCCAAAATCCCAACAGGAGAAAGGATTGCGATGTGACCATCCCCTGTGGGGGCATGGCTTTCTTATTTTCTCTCTCCCTCTCTCTCTCTGGCAAGCACATGTGCCCTCTAACAAAATAATAATAATAACAATAATAATAATTAATTGCGCTACATCTCTCTATCTATCTCAGTTCCTCCCTAGAACAGGAAGTAGAATTTTATCTGAACTAAAACATGGGAGAATAAAGACAGGGAAAACTAGGGTGAGAGCTGTTCTTAGGTAATGAGCAGGGACTAGTTCAAATTAAATCGGGGCAGGTGCTATGTGGGTAAGAAATAAACTGGAAGCCAGGACAGCAATTCTAGGGTGGAATTCACAGGATTACACTTCCTAAGCAATGTATCTTCTCAAGATGGAAAGAAGTCACTGGGGATAGGGCCAGGAGGCAGCTAAGCGGACGGTAGAGATTCTGTACCCAGAAAGCCTGGCCATAACCAGAAGGGGTGGCGGCAGAAGTCTGAGAAGGAGACCTCAGGGGAAGATGGCAGGAGCTGCCCAGGGCTTATGCCTGTGACCTGAGGCAGTCGCTGACGAAGCAATGATGGTCAATGACTTGCCAGCTCCCAGAGGAAAAGCTGGAGTCACTAAAACACTACAGGGGCTTTGGCGGGTTCAGGTCCAGGCCGGCCGGGGGTCTCTGGCCCCTCACGGTCAGGGAGAGGCCCACCCTCAGTGGTGCTGTTTATCTTCCATATGGCAGCAGGTGGCCATTCTTCCCAGGAAGTCCATCTCTGTGCTCCTAGTGCCCGCCAACAAACTCAGTTTAGCAAATCTTTTATTGAGTACCTCCAGGTGCCCTGCAGTTCCTGGGGACACAAAGCTTGGTGACACTGTGATGGGGGAGAGGTGTGTGTGGCTCATGGCCAGGTCGCCTGAGAACAGAGAGAGAAAGCTCAGTATCTCTGAGGGAGGTCGTCAGGTCTGAAGTGATTGGGGTCTTTGCCACTGCGGCCCCATTCCTCAGCTCTCTGGTTGGACATCAGGTCCTCCAATCCCTTGCTGCCGCTTTTGTAGTAATACTGATGTAAGAGCATCTGAAAATACTTCTTGGAGTTGCTGGAGCCCAAGGATCAGAAACAGGAGGTTAATATCTTCCTTTACCCCAGATGGCTCCATTCCCCACTGCCCTCTCCACCCTCACCCAAGGAAGGAAGCGAGAAGGCTGGGAATGTCAAGTCTCCAGGAAGGAGGAGCTCGCTTTGCAGCCCTCTAGGACAAAAGCCTGAGTCAGCTGGTTCTTTCTGCACCTTGTGACTAGGTCTTTTGAGACCCTCCTCATCTTCCATTTTCTTGGTGGAGTCGGGAAGAGATAAGTCCTTCCTGCTCCTGCTCTGGCTCTGCAGGCCATTCAGACCCCAAGAAAGAGAGGACAGGGAGAGGAGGGGCCACCACAGGTGGCATGAGGGGCCACCACAGGAGGCGTGAGGGGCAGACCAGCTCTGCCAGCCCTCAGCAGCATCGCCAGGGTTCTCTATTACCTGATTATTTTAGCAACCCAGATGCCCCCGGTTCCCCTTTGCGCAGCTTCATAGTTTCCCCGAGCATAGAAATATCGGTTTGAATTTCGGCTACTGGTGAATTGCATGTCCCAATAAGCTCTCAGCAAGTCCCCAGTCCCTGGAAATAAAAGAAAATAATGAAAATGAACCAGGTGACATATCAAAGTGGAAGAGTGAAAATTTCCCACTGATTTTGACCCTTGACAAAGTGATCATTTGAAATTATGCGTAAAGAGGAATATTCCTTCCTGAGGACGGTTCCCTGGAAGAAGGTGCTTTCTGGGGAAGTAGACTGGACTGGGTGGATTGGCAGCTGTGGTTCCCTGGCTTCTGTGTTCTGTGTGCAAAAAAGAGGTGGGACGGTCAAATAAGGGATGTAACAACAGAGAATGACACTACAGATGTAAGGTCCAGGGGCTGTCGGGAGGGCACGGTGAGAAGAGGAGTTTGCGTGTCTCCGGTGGCCCATCATTCCAGTTGAATGACGGCAACTCTGAGTTGAATCAATCTGACTGACTTGTTAGTAAAGGGTGGTGATGACAGTAGGATACCACTCTATACCCTTCAGAATGACAGAAACATTTTTTTAAGAATTACTTTATTTAACATTTTTATTTATTATTTTAATTTGACGAGAGAGAGAGAAAGAAAGCTGCCAGATCCAGGACTCGAACTGTGGTTGGCTATGTGGGAGTTCAGCACCCCTTAACCACCATACTACCTGCCAGCCCTGACAGAAACATTTTAAACTGACAATATCAACTGTGGACAAAGTTGTGGAGCAACTGGAACTCTTACAGTTGGTGATGGAATTGTAAAATGATACAGCTTTGGAAAACTGTTTGGCAATATCTGCTAAAGCCAAGCCTACAAACATCTATGACCCTATGATTATATGCCAAGGTTTATACCCCCAACAGAAATGAGTGCTTATTTACTTCTGTCAAGGTACTGTGTACCAATGTTTATTAAAAATTTATCTGTAATAGCCTAAAACATAAAAAAGCCCAATTATCCAACAATGGAGAATGGATAAATAAACTGAAGATTTATACAGCAGAATACTATGAATGAAAAAGAACAAGCTATTGATACATACAACAATGTGAATGAATCTTATAGTCATACTACTGAGTGAAAGAAACCCAGATACAAAAGACACATACTGTATAATTTCTTTTATTTAAATATTAAAAGCAAGAAATACTAATTCGTAGTGATAAAGGGAAGAATAATTCGTTCGCTCAGTGGGGAATATTAACTGGGAGAGGACATGAGCTATCCTTCTGGGATGCTCAAAACATATGCCATCTCAGGCTCACCCATGCCCCAGGGATGAAGGGAGCTAGATCCCACATGGCCAACTGCATGCTTTGAACCCTGACCCAGCAGCTTGAGAAACATGCCAGACACATGTGTATGCCTGCCCAAATCCGACCCTCCCCAAGGGCGAGGGTATTTCTCACTTTCTTTCTCTCTCTGGTGAACACATAAGTCCTATAGCAAAAACAAACAAACAAACAAACAAACAAACAAAAACCTAAAAAGAAACAAACAAAAAACTGTGTTATTTGGGCAAATAGATAGTGCCCAAATAAGGAGAGTGGTGGCTGTGTCAGAGGCCTGATTCCAGTTCCTGGACTAACCTGAACACACTAGGTGTGTTTATATTTGCCTGGGATCTTAGTTAAGTATAATAGAAGGCTGGATCCTAGCATGGCAAGACCCTGTGGAAAAGATACCTTTCTCTCTCCCTCTCCCTCTTTCTTATAAAAGGGAAAAGAACCCCGTTATTTAAAGAGTACCATCAAACAATTCTTTTTTTTTTTTGGAGAGGTTTTGCTATAGGGCGTGTGCGCTCGCCAGGCAGACAGAGAGAGACAGAGAGACAGAAAACAAGAAATCACCCCCCAGGGGGGATGGCCACGCCACAATCCCTTCTCTTCCGTTCTCCTCTCGAGATCTTGGGCACGCACGCACACGCACCCGGTGTGAGTTTTAAGCCACCAGGTCCGGGCCGCAAGCCACGGTCGACTACGTGGGAGTCCAGTGACATAGCCATTACACTAACTGCTGGTCCCTAAAGAGTACCATTTTTGAACATTTTAAGGGTTTACAAAACCAAACTCTTCGTTCTCAGCCCAGATCTCAAGAAAGAAGAAGAGGCTTCCAAAGTTTCGCCAATTTGTTACCGAATAAACCAGACTCAGGTCAAACAAAAACACCCCCCAGTTTTCAATTCTACTCCGAATTGAAACTTCTAACCCCATAAAGAAGAAAGCACAATTTCTCCCCAAATGGATTTTACCAATTTAAACATGAAGTTGAAAATCCAGAACAACTGAAATTTGTGAAATTTCAGTTGATTATATGACAGATAATTCAATTGCAGAATTAATAACACACAAAATTCAAAGCATTGCAAACACTGACACCATAACTTTCTCATTTTAATAATTGGCTAATAAGCTTCATTTTTCATTAGAAATGGCACAAGTCCATTTCTTGGTCCTAGCTCAGCTTCCATGTGGTTCATCAGTGGGAACTGGCTCTTTCACTGTCTGAAGAGTCAGGACTTCTTTCCACGAGCTCTGCATCCCAACCTTTGCCAATTACTCGGTTGCAGGACAGGATTACTCTGGGCAAGTGCTGTTCTAACCCTCCCTGGAGCAGGAAAAGCTGTTCATTTAGCTCGTCCACCTCTAGGGACACCATGAGTTCACAGTTACACTCCAAGACCGAGAAATCGCCACCTGTAAATCCCTGCAGGGGATGACCCCTGCAAGTCCTGAGTCCCCTGCCCTCTCCATCAGCAGTACAGACTGAGCCCAAACACCCCGGACCTCCAGGGCAGGGTGCTGGGTCGGAGCAGCCTGAAAGGAGAAACCAATGTGGAAAAGCACATTCCCGCTCTGATGCCTTCATGACTTCTCTAAGGATCGCCCTCGAGTACCCGGCGACAGCTGGGTGTGCCCTTCATCCTCCAGGGTCCTTACCTTGGACAGCCTCTTTGAAGAACGAATACCAGCTTTCACTGCTGACTCCCACCACCAAGGAGCAGAAAACAATGGCCGTGAAAAGCTTCATCGCGCTGGAGGGTGAGAAAGGATTGGAGAACCATGGTGAAAATAGACCTATGCTTTGAGGTTCTTGAATGGTCAGGACAGCCTGGTTTCCCATTCCCGTTTGTCCATATTAAATCTCTACGGTATGAAAGATTGAAATGGGTTTTAGGGGAGCCAGCAGGCAGCGTGGTGTTGGACTCCCACACAACCGACCACAGTTTGGGTCCTGGACCTGGTGGTGGCTGACTTTCTCTCTTCCTCTCTCTCTCTGTGTCTCTCTCCAGAGAGCATACATGCCCTATAGCAAATTTAAAATAATAATAATAAGTAAAATTAAGTGAATAATTATTTACAAAAAGAAAAGAAGCAGGTTTTAGGAAGAATCTCAAACCCTCATTCTTAGCCCAGATCTCGAAAAAGGATAAAAAGTTTCCGAAGTTTAGTTTATGGCCCAGATGTCCCCTAATAACACAGACTACAGTCAATCAAAAACATTGATTTTTGAACAATGTCTTACTCCGTTCATCACTGACTCCACAGAGAAGTAGACAGCATGATTTCTCTACAAGTGGACTTAACCATTTATGGAATAAAAGAATCTCAACAGTTAAGATGAGCGATGACTCCTTGTTAAAGAGCCTCACCTGGGGCTGCTGGTGCCTTCTTACCGTGGAGTTGTAGCTGGAGCCCCTCCTGGCTTGGGCGTTAATGGGTAGGGAGGCCTTAAATCCAACAACCTGCCTTGACAAAGTCCTTTTTGCTCAATTCTTCCTGGTAAATAAAAAACCAGCACATTGAGTAACAGCGATTCCTATCCACTATTATTTTTCTAAATTGAGAAGTCCACAGTGGTTGTTTCCTAGCATCTTTCTTCCTAAATGTCACTTTTTCCCTCTTTTTAGTCTCCTATATCACAGGAAAAGAATTGTGTTTCAAGTGTGGGAAGACGGGGGACTTTCTGCGTATTCTCCCTTTGTGTCTCTCCAATTTTTTTTTTTGAGAGATTTTTTGCTATAGGGCATGTGTGCTCAGTGGAAAGACAGAGAGACATAAAGCAAGAAATCACCTCCCAGGGAGGATGGCCACGCTGCAATCCCTTCTCCTCCTTCTCCTCTTGGGAGCTTGGGCATGCATGTACACGCGCCCAGAATGAGTTTAAGCCACCGGGTCCGGGACTCAAATCACAGTGAACCATGCAGGAGTTCAATAATGTAAGCGTTACACCATCTGCTGGTCCCTATGTCTCTCCATTCTTACTCCTGTTCAGTGGGAGATCTTCCCAGAAAATTGCACGTCGATATTGTGCTCTGGAAGGTGACAAATATTATTAGCAAAGGTGTCTGCTTATCCCTGTGGCTTCTCTCTAAGGAATGTAAGGACACAGGAGTAAAGCTTGGCTCCTCCAGCCAAGGGATGAGGTAATAAGGAGAAAGGAGGTGCCAGTAGGTGGTGTGGTGGTTAAAGTGCTGGACTCTCACGTGACCAACCTTGGTTTGAGTCCTGGACCTGGTGACTTGAAAATTACACTGGGCACATATGCGTGTGTGCCCAAAATCCAAGGAGGAGACTAAAGAAGAAGGGGTTGTGGCATGGCCATCTCCCTGGATGGTGATTTCTGGGGGGTGATTTCTCACTTTCTCTATATATGTTCCTGTCTTTCTCTAGTGAGTTCATACACCCAGTGTCAAAAATAAATAAATAAATAAATAGGAAGGAAGGAAGGGAATAAAACAGGAAGATCAAAGGTTAGGGTCTTCCAGGTAATAGATTTGATACTGGTATATATTAGATATATATAATCTTCCTGTTCTTTTTTCCTTTTTATTTTATTTTTGCTGTGATTTTAATGTGTAATACTGGAGGACAAGACAGTTGCATCTAACATTGTTATTGTTGTCAAAAGCTCCAGAAAGAACAGCATCTTCCTAACCTCCACATTAATCGTCTTCACTCTCTGAGTATAATTTAATAAGATTTCAAACTCTTAACCTTAAGTGTGGTTGGTTCAAACACCCGTACTTGTTTGTTGTCTTGAGGTTTACCATTGATCAAATCGAGACCAAGCCATTCTAGATTTTAACATCCCGGGTCCTCACATAAAAAGTTCTTCACTTTGATGCCCCAGACATGTGAAATCTTGAGCAGCATTAACTGCCAGTGTATTGAGAATAATAAGAAAAGATCTTGCAAACTCTGCAAAAGCAGGTTGTTCCCCAGATCCAATGTTAATTGTATAGTTTTCAAGGTATATAGACAGGACTGTCTCTACAGTGGTCCCCCCCACCCAGCCACGGACTTTGACTCAAAAACTCTTCACCACACAAAGCACATCACGTAAAGGGCGCTCCATCTCGTCACACCTGAGATCGTTTGCCCCATGTAAGCTAACTGATGCAGATATACAAACCTTAGTGTTATTAAGATCAGTTCATAATCACGAATATTCTCCCGTAACACCTCTTCAGCTTGGCCCATCACTGCAGACTCAAAAATGTCTTGGCCTTCCAAATTGGCCAGGGTTGACAGAATAATCACACCTGAAGTTTAGCAGTGCCTTTAAGGTCCCTTTTGAAAACTCTTCTAACTGCCATGGCACCAGTTTTCACGAAGTACTTCAAACACACGTCATCCATTCCAACTGTGGTTAGAACAACATTGACGCTAGTTCCCAGGATCTACCTCATTCTCTCCTTGGTGACACTGATTCTCTCTGTCTCACTTGGTCCAATTTTTCAGGGTCTGTGATAACCACCTATATACCAAGCTTCAGTTTTATTTTGTTTCCTTTTTATAAAAATTATTTTTAATTTTATTTATAATTAGTAGTAGTATTCAATTTGAGCAGAGAGAGAGGGAGAGTGAGAAAGCAAGCTGCCAGGTCCAGGAACTGAACCGCAGTCGGCCACGTGGGAGTCCAGCGCCACCAACTACCTCACCACCTGCCGGCCCCTTCAGTTTTGTTTTCCATAGGCTGAAGTCATGCACTGATTAGCACACTCTCCATCTGACTTCTCCGGGTGGGCTTTCAGAACAATAGCAGAATTGACTGCATAGTGAGGCTGGTGTCTTCTATCTGTGGGTTTAACACCAACCACGGCATTTACTACCATAGGAGCAACGAAATCACCATTTATCATAATGATTTTGGAAGACAACAATATCTTAGCAGTACTCATCAGGCAATGTCTTCTGAGTTCATGTTTTAATAATTAGGTTTTCGCTAGTATAACACACTGCTTCCTTGCAAGCCAGTTGACCACCACTAATAACAGATGTGGGGTGAATTTTTTTTTTTATCTGCATCTTTTAGAAGTTCTCTTGCAATGGTAACCACGGAGGTAGTTCCAGTTCCGACTTCATCTTGCAAGTCAGCTAGCTCACCAAGAACTTCAGCAGCAGGGTGTTAGACCTCCAATAACTTCAGAATGGTTGGATCGTCATTAGTAATGGTTACATCATCAATATCCACCAGCACTTCATCCGAGCCAACCATACCAAGAGAACTTCTTGTCAGTCTTGGCGCTGAAGCTGCAACCATAATGTTCTGGGAATGGGCACCTCCCAAGTGCTGCAGACAAAGTCCCTTCCATATTCAAGACAGGGTACACGTCGACTATCACTCACACCATGGGCAACCAGGGTCTTGACTGCTTGGGTGGATGGCAGCCACGACAGTATTGATGAGGATGTGGAGCTAGCCCAAATCATGCCATGAGGGCTGCTGGGTCTTTAACTCTCTTTTAATATAAATATGTATTGTTCTACACCTTTATTTGGCCGGAGTGCATATGCACTTGCCAGAGAGAGGAAGAGAAAGAGAGAGAGAGGAGAGAGAGAGAGAAAGCACCTCCCATTGGAACATGGTCACCACACCATCCCTTCTCCATTTCCCCATCCTGTTGAAATTTTGGGCACACATGCACACATACCCAGTATGTTTTTCAAGATACCAGGCTGGGATTCACACCACATAGTTGGCCCTGTGGGGTCAGGTTCCCTTAACTCTCCTAGCCCACATTACCAGCTCTATTGTTTTACACTTTAAAAATTGTTTTAAAAAATTTAAAGTGTTTTTATTTCTTCCATGAAATACAGAAACAGAGACAGAGAAACAGGCACTCCCAACACCGCCTTCATGCATGACCCACTCCCAGGCCAAGCCAGCCCTGACCACAGGCACACCTGCACACCCAAATGCTCAAGCAGGTCTCGGGATGCAAAGCCATGTCCCACCCATGTGGGTCCAGCCGCACCACACCTCCACTTAAAAAAAGAAATTATTTATGTATCTATGTGTTGTGAATTTTAAGCTCCCCAGTCCAGGATTTGAACCACAGACAACCATGTTGTAATCCAGTGCCTTAATCACTATGCCACCTGCTAGCCGACAAATGCACTTTTTAAAAGTTAATATATCTTGGAAGTTCTTTCATATCAAGTTTGTTGGGTTTTGTTTTAACCATCACATGGGCAAACCTTACTTTAGAGAATATTGGCAGTCATTTTGACCATTACTAATCTTTAGTTATTGCAAACCGTGCTATGCTTATTAATTTTGTAGATATATTTCTGGCACATGTAAAAACATGTATCTAGGATCATTCCTATGTGAGGAATTACATAGTGAAAAAGTATGACATATAACACATTTTTATGTATATAGGTAATTGCCTTCCACGGGGCCGTCAATGTTCATCCCACCAGAAATATGAGCATCCCTGGTCTCACACCATCTCTCACTCAGTGCCATTAAACTTCATGGTCTTGGAAATTCCGGTGAATAAAATGTAATTCACTGTCATTTTAATTTGCGTCTCTTATTACTGAGGTCACATCTTTCTACCGGCTCATCTTATCTTTTTACGTAGAAAAATATATCATGACTTTTCTAGTGACCTAATATGTGACTAAGAGCCATTTTTATTTTCTAGGAATTAAAATTTCATATCTTCACATCAAACTAGTCATTTCCAGGTTGATTCTGTGGCCTGATGTTTAAGGCAGCTTAATCCTGTATGGCTGACCATGCCAATTCAACCCCAGACCAAACGGCTTGAGAAACGCACTAGATGTGTGTGTGCATGAGTGCCCAAAGTCCCCAAAAGAGGGGGAGATGGAGAGGGGTTGTGACATGGCCATGCCCCATTAGGGGGTACTTTCTCCAATTAAAAAACAAAACAAACAAATAAAAAAACAAACAAATTAAAAAACCCTCCCTTTTCAAATTACTGCCTGGCTTCTTTGTCCTGACTGCACCCTGATTTATAAAAGGATCTTCTCTATCTTGTTTTTTCTTCACCCCACCATTTCCACAATTTTATCTAGTTAAGGTGCATAAAGTGTCAGGGAACAGTCACAAAAGGAGTGGCATTTTATCTTCATTTAGTCTTGAAATAAGTCAATGAAAAAAGAGAGAAAATGATTTAAAGGCACTTTCTTGCTTGCTTGCTTGCTATAAGGTATGCGCTCACTAGAGAGATAGTGAGAAGGAAAATGAGAAATTGCCCCCCCCCCAGGAGGATGGCCACATCACAATCTCTCCTGAGAGTTTGGGCATGCATATACACATGTCTGGTGGGATTTTCAAGCCACCAGGTCTGGGACTCAAACCATGGTCGACCATGTGGGAGTCCAGTTCCTTAACCATCATGCCACCTGCTGGCCTCTAGAAGGAATCACATAGTGAAAAAGTATGAGAGATAACACCTTTTATGTATACAGCTAATTGTTTCTTGAGTAAACAAAAACTGCTTAATGATTGGATTTGTAGGTGTATACCTGAGAAATTAACAAAAGATCAAGGTGGCTGTTTCTAGGACAGAATCCCACCGATCAGTCATCCCAGGGCTGTGCCCCCACCCCCCACAGATGGAGTGACCACTGAGGACTAGGACCTTGAAGGTAGAGAAGGTAACGGGACAATGTGGACAGGAGTAAGGGGACTAAACATGGCAAAACCTTGAAATAGCAACAGTGTACACAGAAAAGCCTAGAGAAAGGACCCAATCTGATTCCAGGAAGGGCTGATAGAAGTGTCCAACCGTATCCCCACGGGAAGCCTCTTCCCCAAGCCAAACACACAGTCCTGGACACACGCCTCTGCTGGCCTCCATCGCTCACCTGTTCCTACAAATGGACAGTCTTTACCCCCAGAGATCAACACTCTCTCAACAAACTCAGTCTATAAACATTTATTAAAAATCTACGTGTATCCTGCTCCAGCTTCTAGGGACCCAAGTCCAACAATAACTCTCTGCACCCGCAGGGGCTGACAGCTCGATCTGGTCAGCCGCCGTGTCCTCTGCTCCGTGGCCTGTGAGTCTCTGAATATTCTCTCTGGCATCGCTGGAGTTGAGGTAGGTGGGTAAGAAGACGGATCACCAGGCTGAGGAGCAGTAATCCACCCTCCCCAGTCTCCCCTTCCCAAGAGATGGCTCTGATCCAGGAAAGCCACGGAAGGAGGGGCAGAAATACACCCCGGCCCTGCTGCCCGGCCGGTCACCCTCACCGGATAAACAGCACCAGGGAGGGAGGAAGGGCTGTGGTCGCTCCTGGGCCCTCCCTTTCTCTTTGGGGACCAGGTTCACACCTGTCACCAGTCCTACGCTGGTGCTGCCAGCAGGCCAGGCCCTGCAATGGGCGTGGAGGAGGGGTGGGCAGCGTGGCACCAGGCTGAGGGCCACAGCCTGCAGGGATCTGCTCCAGGGCCACCCCTCCTACCCCAAGGCACTCCAGCCCCGCCCACCCACCCTGGTGTCCCCAGAAGCTCAGGTACCTGAGCACCTCAGCCGCCCAGGCGCCCCCGGGGCCCCTTCGGGCAGCGTCGAAGTTCCGCCGAGCGTGGAAGTATTTGTCTGCATTTATGTAGTTGGCTTCTCGCATGTCGGAGTAGGCCTCCACATGTCCCAAGACCCTGAGAGGCAAGGGAAAGGCAAAAGGATACCAGGTCAAGAGACAACTCTGACAGCAGCTTAGAGGGAAGCAGAGCGCAGACTTCCACTGAGGCGGGGTTCAGCCTGTGAGCAGTTTCAGGTCCTATGGCTCAGAATGTCCTTGAGGGTGGGCGCCTCCAGGTAACTCTGAGGAGGGTCCTTGAGGCAGGACGCACCTGGGCAGACTTGGCACCTGTCCCCTGCAGTGCTGCCTGTCCCGTCACCCCCAGGGGCTCTGCGTGACCTGTGCAATGAGCAGGGCCACATCATGAAACGGACTCTCGACCTCAGACTACTGAAACCCTGGCTCCATCCTCCGGGTCTCTGGGCTGCCCTGAGCATGTAGTTCAGCACCCTTCTCCACCTGATGCGCGCTCCCCAGCGCCACAGCCCCCTCTCCCCCAGACGTTGCCACATGTCCCCTGGGCCACCACATTGGCCCCTGGTAAAGAATATAATTCCCCTTTATCACTGTAGGGAGACGTTTCCCTAGAAATCCTTCTACTTTGCCTTCCAGACACAACCGGGAGCTTCCAAGGCTGTCCTGGTCTCCCATTGAGCCAGGGCTGGGATCTGTGCTTCTCATATTCACCAGTAGGGGGCAGCAGCGCACGACAAGGCCACCCAGATCGCAAGAGAGCCTCTCAGACCAGCAAGCGCCACTCACCTGGGGTCTGGGGCCCCCACAGGCTAGTGCCAGGACCTCCTTGGCCAGCTGCAGAAAACCTGCTGGGAAAGCCTGGTTGCTGCTCCCCCTGGCCCTGGCTTCTCCTGCCTCCACCAGCACAGGACCACACCAGGTGAATCTGGTGGCCTTTGGTGACAGTCCCCCTCCCTCAGCCTTACCTTGGGCGGCCTCAGTAATGAATGAAAAAAAGCTGCTGACTCCTAGGATCAAGGAGCAGAACACCAGGCCTGTGAGAAGCTTCATGGTGCTGAAACGGCAGGAGGGGGTCAGGGAGACCGGGGAAGCCTCTACAGCCCCCTTAGGGATTCACTGCCTGAGCGCCCGTGGTCCCACCAGCCGGTCAGTGGTCATCTAGGAAACCCGCAGGTGCACCTCGGGGAGCACACCCTCAGCGCTGAACCCCTCAGCCAAGGCCACGCTAAAGGGGGAGGCTGGCTTAGGACCAGCCCGTCACTCCCTGGAGCAGCCTCTAATACACCGGGAAGCCTTTCTGGGGTCCCCTCTGCCCAGGACAGACCTCCCAGGGGCGAGGTAATGGCCGATGGTTATCTCTAAAAGGAGTAAGTTAAGTGAAACCCCTCACGGGGAGCCTCACCTGGGTTCTGGTGGAGCTGACCTGCCGGTGTCTGCAGAGGACAGGTGACGGCTCTTTATACCCAGCCTGCCGTGTGGCCCAGCGGAGGGACCACGGCCAGTTTGAGTGCCCGGGGAAAGTCCCTCGGGGTGTTTCCCGGAAAACTGCAAAGGGACATGCTGGACCCCAGTGTCTCCTTCAGCCACAGGTCACGGCCCCGTTGTGCAACCTGAGGAGAAGGAGGGCTTGTTCTGCCGGGGCAGCGCCGGGCAGGGGAGGGCTCTGCGGGTCACAGGGGGAGCTGAGGCTGCGGACAGCACGGTGGGAGTCGTGGTGGCGGCTCCAGGGCCTCCAGGGTGTGGGATGTGAGGCGGTTCTTTGGGCCAGGACCCGCTGTCTCAGCCGCTTCCCCAGGGTGGGCCCTGCTGGGTCGGGCTGCACATGTGTCAGAAACAAGTCCCTTAAAGTTCGTTCTTGAAGCCCTTGAGGGTCAAAGTGACAGGCCGGCCCCACCGAAAGGAACTCGCGCTGCTGGAAGGACCTCCCAGCATGTGTCCGTGCTGGGCCTCCAGCTCTAAGGCCAGGAAAGCCCTGGTCTGCTGGCCGAGCCCATGGACCTGTGTCATCTGAGCTGGCTCCTGGGTGGGGCCAGGTAGTGCAGGGGACTTTCTGCTTCTCAAACTGATTGTGGAGGCCCACAGAGTGGGAGTGAGGATGTGTGATAGCCTGGCTGCCCCGCTGGCAAGTCCAGTCTACAGCCGGGAGAGGGCAGGAGAGCTCCGGGTGCCCTGTGTTTTGACCCTGGCTTTGGAGGCTCACTGACTGGAATATCAGCAGGGTCATTCTGGTTGTGCAGGGGCTTGTGGAGAAACAGGAGTTGGCAGCGGAGTCAGTACCAGAGCCCAGCAGAGGTGAGGGCGTGGCACGAACCGAGGCAGTGCACAGTGCAGCCTCCTGTGTTCTCCCATCCATTTGGCTCCATTCTCATCCATCTTCACACCCTGAGAGCGGACTAGTTATAATAACCCCAGAAAACCTCTGGAAAAGGCCAGGTCCAGGCACAGGGGAACGGGGGTAGGAGGGCCCAGAGAGCTGGAAGCAGCACCCGAGGGGTTCAATCTGGACAGTGGTACAGGAGACTTTGTTCCAGAGCCCAGTGGTGACACCCTTTGCCGGTCCCCCCAGATGGACGCAGGGTGGTGATGGGGGACTTGCTGAGTACCACACTCCAGGTGGTCACAGTGGAGTGGGAAGTTGGGGGTCAACATCCTGATTCCCACTGGGGCAATGAACAAATTGAGCCGCTTATCCTCATTAGGATGCTCCTATCATCATGGCCCACACTGGGCACGCACGGTTAGGCATCAAATTTCTCTAGTCTGCACGTGTGAGAGAGACAGGCAAGCACAGGAGGAAGCCCACGAATTCAATCCAAGAGCACACATGGTATGACAGACCTCCCACTGTTAAATATTCATGATCACTTCTGTAATAAAAATAACACCTAACCAGTTCCAAACACAGTTGCTACCTCACAACCTGCCCGCCCAAAAGTCTTTTGGGTGTACTTGTTTTCCAAAATCTTTCTTTCCTATTAAATTCTCTTTCCTACCTACTTTTATTGTGGTTGTGGCTTTATTTTGTGCCTAGGGTCAGGTCTCTAATTTTAGTGATCTGGACCCAAAGAACCAAGGACTTTGTACAACACAGCTCAACACTCCCATTCTATGACATTTTCTCCAGTTTTGCCAGATTCATATTTGGAATACCTTCGCTAGTCCTGTCCACAGCGACACAGCACTTTTATCACACTTATGTTCAGCTTGAGAACATGCATAACAGGGACCAGCAGTTGGCATAATGACTATGTCGCTGCACTCCCATGTAGTCGACTACAGTTTGAGTCCCGGAACAGTGACTTAAACTCACTCCAAGCACGCGTGTGTGCATGATCTCTCTCTGTCTTTCTGGAGAGTGCATGTGCCCTATAACAAAAACCTCTCAAAAAAAAAAAAAAAAAAAAAAGAAAAGAAAAAAAAGAGCCTGCATAGCTTTACAACACTACATGCTAAGAATAAAACAGTATCTATTTGTACAACATATTAAATATTTGGCATGCTTTTTCACAGTTTAAAAGTATATAAACAAATGTTTATGGGCCAGCAGGTGGCATGGTGATTAAGGGCACTGAACTCCAACATGGTTGACTGCAGTTCGAGTCCCAGACCTGGTGGCTTACTTTCTCTCTCTCTGCTCCTTTCTCATAAAATTAAAATAGATAAATAAATAAATAAAATTAAATAAAATCATTTTTAAAACGTTTAGACCCAACTTACAAATCTGTTTTTGTATTTATTTTTATCAACTTATTGTAAGGTCTGGGGGAAGAGAAAAGAAACATGGCGGAAACATTCCTGCCGGCAGAACTTTCCTGTTTTCTGCAAAAGGCGCACCATCACCAACGGACTTTCCCACCCTTCAGCATTTGGAGCGCCCACCAAAGCTGAACAGAAACGGCGACCTTCATTGGCCAGACAAGGACCCATGGCGACCACCTATTGGACAACTCTACTCTGCACTTGGCATTCTGCTCCGCACATGGCACCAGACCTTACGTGGCTCAGTAGCCTGACCAAATCATTCCCCCCCTCCCCCCCGAGATGGCCAAGCTGCAATCCCTTCTCCTCGTCTCCTCTTGGGATATTGGGCATGCACGCACATGTGCCCGGCATGAGTTTTAAGCTGCTGGGTCCAGGATTCGAACCACGGTCGACTATGTGGGAGTCCAGCAGCATAATCATTACATCATCTGCTCACCCCAAACAGAAATATTTTACCTTGAATATCTCAAGCAGAAGAGAAAACCCAAAACTGTTGAACATTTTTAAAAAGGCAAAAGCAACAACAAACTCCAATATCATCAGAGGGAGGGCAGCATCTCGGTCAGCAGGGCAGGGGTGCTGCTAGATGGGCAGGTGCAGTGTTGGCCCTGAGGCCTTCCAGAAAGCCAGGACTTAGAGCTCCTAAGTCTCTTACTGGAGACAGGATGGGGTGGGGGTGAAGGTTCAAGCAAATACAAGGCGTTTCCTTCCCTGATGACTCCCCCTGCATCTGAGAACTCCTACAGTAGAGTTGGAAAAATGGACAATCCTGGCTGTTGACAGAAAATAACCAACTGTAAAAACAATAATTATGTGGTTTATTTCTAAGCAAAATAGGAGTGACCAAGCCCAGAGAGGAGGCAAAACATGTCTTTCTTGGGGTGATAAGGTACAGGGGTTCCTTTTATTTGATTTTAAGAGTGAGAGACCGGGGTTGGAATTTAGTGAAGAATTTTTCCATTGGTCTGGCCCCAAAAGGCAGGGCATGTGGAAGGGGGGAGGCTTGTAGGTTATTGGTGTGGTTACAGTTTTTAGGTTGGTGATTGATTGGAAAAGAAAGGTAGAGATCAGAAAAGAATGTACTTTAACAGAAATAGGGAGGCTTAATACACATCACAAAGATATTGTGTCAGGGGCAGGATGTAGGAAGAGTCCTATTACCAAAAGGTCAAAATGGTCTGCTAATGTTTGTGGGCATGACTCCCTCCAGGCCTTCCGGAAAGGACTTTGGAAAATAAGAAAAAGCTGTCAGATTTCTGTCCTCATGAAAGTTGAAAAATAGATTGGTGATGTGTTGTAGCCAGCTGGACCACAGGAAGCCATAACTCAATTATTCTTCCTCTTTCATTCTTTTTCAAAGAATTAGAAGAGGGAACCAGCAGTGAGCGTAATGGCTATGTCGCTGGACTCCCACGTAGTCGACCGCGGTTCGTGTCCCGGACCCGGTGGCTTAAAACTCACGCCAGGCGCGTGTGCGTGCGTGCCCAAGATCCCGAGAGGAGAATGGAGGAGAAGGGATTGCGGCGTGACCATCCCCCCTGGGGGGTGATTTCTCGCTTTCTGTCTCTATGTCTCTCTCTGTCTGTCTGGCGAGCGCACGCGCCCTACAGTGAAAATCTCTCAAAAAAAAAAAAAAAGAATTAGAAGAGAATTTTATTTTTTAATTATTTCATTTAACTTTATGTATCCATTTATTTATTTATTTTATTGTGACCAAAGAGGAATAGAATGAGAGAGAAAGTGAGAAAGCAAGCTGCCAGGTCTGGGACTTGAACTGCAGTTGGCCATGTGGCAGTCCAGCACCCTTAACCACCATGCCACCTGTCAGCCCCACTCTGAAACCATTTTACTTGTCCTAATGAAATGTAATTCCAGGCCTTTCCCCAGTGTCTGGACTAGAGGTGAACTCTGGATGCCAGGAAGAGCAGATGCCTAAACAGGAGCACAAGTCATCACTGGTCTCAGTTCTTCATGGGTGTTCCCTGCCCCAGCTTCCCTGTAGGACCTGGTGGGATTAGAGTGCCTGCTATGAGTTCCCCATACTTGGGAATAAATGTGGTAATCCTGGAACTCCTGTGTAAGCAGAGGGTGTCAGAAAAATGGAGGGTCCGCTCCAGGTGAGTATGCCCACCCTTCAAGTGTGACCAGAGCAGATACTATTGAGTATCTTCTGTAAGACAGAAGCAAGTGTTGTTTTTGTTTGTTTCTTTCTTTTTAAATAGTACATCTTATGAATCATCATTAACCTGCACCAATCAGGCTATTCAAATATCTAAATATTTACACATGTGTACCCATTTTGAAAAACAGAGAGGTTTTTCAATTTAGATGAACAATAACATGTTACGTAAAAAGGAATTCCTGGGACCAGCAGTTAGCATAATTGTTATGTCGCTGAACTCCCATGTAGTTGACCACAATTCGAGTCCTGGACAACATGGAATGAGACCATGTGTCAAGAGAATTTGACAAGAAGACTAATATTAGGGGAATGTGAATCTCTGATTTAGACAGAGAAGCAGCTTTTTTCTAAAAAAAATTACTTATTTCATTTACTTTTCATTATCATTATTATCTTTAATTTGACTAGAGAGAGAGAAAGAGACAGAGAGAGAAAGTGAGCAAACAACCACCAGGTCTGGGACTCGAACTATGCGTGGTTGACCATGTGGGAATCCAGCACCCCAACCACCACACCATCTGCTGGCCTAGAGAAGCAGCTTTAATTAAAGATTTAAGGAATGGGCCAACCACACAAGAAAATAGAAATGTAGAGCCTTTATGGGGAGTGCTCCCAGTGAGGTTCGCTGGTCTGTCAGGAAGGGAGAGAGAGGGAGGGAGACAGGTCAGAGAAGTCTCAGAGTTTAGCGATTTTTATAAGGGCATAGGGAGGGGGAGTGTCTTAGACGTAGAAACAGCCCATGTATGGTAAAGGTTTAGGGGGAGAGGAGACTAGTGTGCCACGTAAAGTCTGGTGACATGTGCAGAGTAGAGTCCCATGGGCAGAGATGAGAGCCATGTGCTACGTCTGGGTTAGATCCCAGTGCAACGCAGGTCTGATGACAGGCTAGTTCCGGGTTGTATCAGCCAACTAGGATGTGGCGTTCCATCCCCACATCCAAGCTGCCCAGGCCTCTGGCCTAACAAAACGAACATTGGGAGCAAGTATTTTGGATATGAAAGTACTTTTTGTTTATTGAGCACTATGTTGTAAACCACATGTCTCTGACAAGAGAGTTGACAAGCTAAACAAATCTTCATTTTGCAAACCAATCAGATTGAAAGACTGGTACATCTAACAATTTGACTTTGCTCAATCATGAGTGGTAAATTCCCATATTAGATTTTCTGGTCACTGACTGTAAAAGGAAAAGGATTTTTTTTTTTTTTGAGAGTTTTTATTTGCTATAGGGCGTGTGCACTCACCAGACAGACAGAGACAGAAAGTGAGAAATCACCCCCCAGGGGGGATGGCCACACCGCAATCCCTTCTCCTCCATTCTCCTCTCGGGATCTTGGGCACACATGCACATGCACCTGGTGTGAATTTAAACCACTGGGCCTGGGACTTGTACCGTGGTCGACTACATGGGAGTTCAGTGACATAGCCATTATGCTAACTGCTGGTCCTAGGAATTGCTTTTTACAGAACATTTTATTGTTCATCTAAATTGAAAAACTTCTCTTTTTCAAAATTGGTAAACATGTGTAAAGATTTAGACACTTGAATAGCCTGCTTGGGGGAGGTTAATGATGATTCATAAGATGTACTATTTAAAAAGAAAGAAAGAAACAAAAACAACACTAGCTTCTGTCTTACAGATTTACTTACCTATCTATCTATCTATATATATATATATTTTTTAAAACATTTATTTATTTATTTGTTGTGATTTATCAAGCCACCAGATCTGGGTCCTAGAGGGAGAAAGCTCCCCCTATGGGACATGATATAGCACCATCCCCTTTCTCCCTCTCTCTATCCTGTTGAGATTCTGGACCTGCATGCCTGGCATGTTTTTCAAGTCACAGTCCCAGGACTCGAACTGCATGGTTGACTATGTAGGATCCAGCTCCAGTAACCCAGAGGGTTGGTCTCTGATTTATTTATTTTGCTGGAACAGGCTAAGAATGAGCAATGAAGCTAGTACCTGAGATTGTTGTTCTTGGTGGTGGATGACAATCTGAAGATGACTAGGAATGCCTCGCCTTCTCTTCTCTTTAATTATGTTTTGTGCACAGAATCTTTCCCATGTAGAGTTATTGGAATCTTACTGACTTATCATCCAATGAGTGAAGCCTTCTCTTCATGTGTGTAATCACCACCACCCCCGACCACCCATACCCCTCAGTTATAAGCTTCATTTTCAGGAAGGCACGGCTTGGATCTAGTTAGCCTAACTCTCCTCACACTGTCTGCCCAGCATCTAAGGCAGTGGCTGTCGTCCAGAAGGTGCTCAAATGAATTCTTGATGAATGAATAAATGAATTAAAATGCTACTCTAGGAAACTCTGAAAGCCCCGGATGGCATGAATACTTCTTACTACCTAGAAACATGGCGAGCATTTGATGTGCAACTTCCTAGGCTTTATTTCACTAACGGAAACTGTCTTTGAACAAAAGTAGGGTCATATTCTATTGCACTCTTAAGACATTATTCATGAACCTCTGGTCACTAAAGGCTCTTCCATACTATTGATATTAGTATACGGCAGAGCCAAAGGCATATCAGGTCCGTCTGAATCCAGGGCTTGGCTCTTGGCTCTGTGCCATGCTGCCTCCAAGTCCAGGTGGCCGGGTTTTAGGGTCTGTGGTGGGAACTAGGTGTCATGGTCTCTACTGGAAAGGCATTCTGCTGTTTTGTAACGGGACTTTCTGTAAGAGATAAGCATGGCGAAATGGACTGAGGACAGAGTCCGGGTTTCTGCTTCCCGAAGAGATTGCTGCGGCTAATGGCATTCTCCCAAATCAAATCATCCATCCGGGAATTACCAGGAGCCACCCGCAATCTTTTCAAGGGATGTGCAGTTTCCCAGAAAATAGCATTTTGTGTTGCCTCTCAGGATTTTGGGCAGGCATGCACACTTGTGTATCACGAGTTTCAAGCCACCAGGTCTGGGACTCGAACCACAGTTGACTACGTGGGAGTGGAGTGACATAACCATTATGCTATCTGCTGATCCTAAGTAGTAGATACTTTTAAAAAATTAGTAGTGGGACCAGCAGGCGGCATAGTGGTTAAGGCACTGGACTTCCACATGGCTGACCATAGTTTGAGTCCCAGGCCTAGTGGCTTGAAACTCATGCCAAGAGTGTTTGCCCAAAATCCCGAGAGGAGAATGGAGAAGAGATTGCAGCATGGCCATCCCCTCCAGGGGGTGATTTCTCACTTTCTCTCTCTCCGTCTCTTTTTGCCTCTCTGGCAAGTGCATGCTCTCTACAAAAATCTCTCAAAAAAAAAAAAAAAAAAAGAATAGTATTTGCTAGTTAGCACAAATGAAATAGAGCAAGGAAAAGAGAACTATGACAAGCTTCCTCTGGTTTCAGGCAGAGAGAATCAGCCTTTCTCTTTGATCTATCTTGAGACAATTTGTAGCAACGTCAACTTGCCTAGGCTGAACTACAGGTTCCTGAATTTTCCCCAATGATACTTTCTAGAGTATTTCTAGTTAAGAAATGTTAGAAAGGATATTATCTCTCAACTGGAGTCTCTGTCTGTTGTATTCAGGCTCACTCTTGTTAGGTTGGTCTCCTGCTCCTCCACTAAGCACCCCAGAACTGGGCCGACCCTGCCCCTATTTCTGTCTCATGGTGACAGGGGACAGATAGTGATGCCCACGGACACATAGCACACTATTTCTCCCCTTTTCATCTGACTGGGAGCCTGGCACCTCTGTCCTAAGCTGTCATTTCCCATAACACATGACACCTCCTTCTCTCCTGTCACAGTCTTAGAATTTACACTTCCTGTCCTGATACCTAGGTATACTCATCACTCCATGTGGGTCTCTGGCTTTGGGTTAGGAACGCAGAAAGTCCCCTGCACTACCTGGCCCCGCCCAGGAGCCAGCTCAGATGACACAGGTCCATGGGCTCGGCCAGCAGACCAGGGCTTTCCTGGCCTTAGAGCTGGAGGCCCAGCACGGACACATGCAGAGGGGACCCCAGAAAGGCTTCCCGGTGTATTAGAGGCTGCTCCAGGGAGTGACGGGCTGGTCCTAAGCCAGCCTCCCCCTTTAGCGTGGCCTTGGCTGAGGGGTTCAGCGCTGAGGGTGTGCTCCCCGAGGCGCACCTGCGGGCTTCCTAGATGACCACGGACCGGATGGGGGGGCCA